AAATGGGTGAAATCGTGCACACTACAGCGACAGGGTGAAATCGTGCACACTACAGCGACAGGCTGAAGGCGCTTTCCCAAACCGTTCTCTTCTCATGCACTGATTCTAATGGAGTACTACCACTCCTTGCTCAGAACAGAATTAATTAGAAACAAAAAGAGATCTGAACTTCCAAAGTATGTGACTCTTGTGTATGTGTCTTGCCTCAATCTCCTGTTTCTAAATCTTATGCTCACATTGCCACAAGAAGTGTTTTTTTTTATATTTGGCAACATATAGTGATTTCTGAATCTTTTTATAAACCAACAGGAAGCCAACCTGAAGTAAATGCCCCACTTTGAATCAGCCAGTCTGTAGAACAAAAGAAACTTTTTGTAGCAAAGTCAAAAGCAAGTTTTATTTAAGCAAACAAAAGAAATAAACATGAGTGTACCAAAGACTTTGTGATTGCAACAGTTTTCTGGGAGATGTGGTGGATTATCTAACAGAAGGGGTGCTAATATTTTTGGCCAGACCTACAGCACTGCCAGAGTCCAGTGCCAGCCAAGAAGAAGAATAAATGACAAGAGCACGAGACCAGACAAGAGTAAACATGGGACTGGCTTTTACTCACTGACGAGAGCTAAAAAAATAACACTGTCAGGGTTACTAAACTGTTAATAGCTACTGTCCTGACATTAACATGAAAACATCTCTGATAACATTATTTAAGAAATACTTCAACATAACCCCATCTCACAGGGAATTTTCCAGATGTAAAAAATCATCAACCTCAGGCACCCAAATAAATGCACCTAACAAACCCATCTCAGCCAGCTTGTAATAAATTGTACTGCCCAATTATGTGCAATATGTATCATGTCACCAACAATGTTCAAACACCTGGCAAACAATCTGAAAATTCCACCAGTATTTTAGTAAAACTAAAAAACTGTCATTCTTATTTGTTATTGCTTTTGTTATGAGTGTTCATCTCTGCTGTCACAATAAATAAAATATTAGAGTCAAATTTGTATAAAACCCTGTAGCCTACCTAATGTAACAGGTGACCCAAACAAATTTTCATCTGCTTCTGGGAACTGTTGCATATTATTTTCAATTTCACACTGCTATAAAAATATTTTGAACCCTTACAGCAGAAAACATCTGTAGTGGGTAAAAGCAGGCCTGCAGTAAAGGTACTCACCCTCCCGATCTTCTCTTTCCCCCACGACCTGGCACAGCTCCCCCCATCCTCACCTGGCCGACACCAACTGCTCCTGGCATTGCTACAGTCCCAGGCAACTCATTACTCATCTCTGGAAGATACAACAGCAACAGTAAACCAGCAGAGGGTTAGCATAGGTACCCATCACAGAGGACTAACGTGAAATGTTCAGTCTTTCCCATTTGTAGAATTATTACAAATATTATGAACATTTGTGGAGTTCTGGTTCACTCAGAATGCGTTAGAAAAAGGGATCACAAAAGGCAGACTTTATATCACCAGTGACAATCAGGGAATCAGAATCCTTTCAAATCCACCTAGCAAAGATTAAATGGGTTTTTCAAACCAGGATTCGTCACTTCAAAGAGCAGGCCATGGAGGCGCTCTCGCTAGCTAAACTCAAAAACAGTGGCTGCCAGACTGAAGAGGTGGCTTTTGTACAGAGAGAGTGGCACAAAGAAAGAGCACAGCTAGGGTTAACACCGGTTTGGCTTTTTGACATGGAGAGAGATAAACTAAGCCAAATGACTCAAATCTCATTCAGATGTGGTGCTCTTCTCTCTGGATCCATTAGCATCTAAAGCCAACAAGTTTTTGGTAACATTGGCAACCTAAGCATGGTCATTATTTTACTTTTGTATTGAATTTATATGATTTTAATTTCAGAGTAATTTGCCTTTGTCATTGAGCACCTTCCAGCAAACACTGCATTTTGCAGCTGTTCCACTGATTTCTGAGATACTACACCAGCCAACCATATTTATTAATAATGATGTTTTGTTTTACAAGAGCGTTGTTGAGTTATCACAGGTCTGTAGCCCATACTGGCATTCAAAGTGTCATACTTTTTCACCGTTATGTTTGTGGTGCCCTGGCAGTGGCGTTGCATCAGCAATGCGGTGTTTTTAGCCCTGCATTACGCTTATAAAATTCAACCTGCATGTTTTTCCTTTCTGCCACCAGGTGTAGCAAAGCGTGCTATGCTATTTATGGATGCACACACAGCAAAGTAGGCTTCTCCCATATTCCTTACCATACAGACACAGCACCAGTTAAATATTTAGCCTATAATCTGCTACACTGAGTGTCACATATCTAATCACATCCAGTCACAAAGAAAACTAATGACACTGTTGGCAATTTCCTGATGTTCTGCATAAATTGGTCATGAAATGTGATCTGATCTTCACTACAGTCACAATTATCAACACACAATATTTCTAAGCTGATAAAACACAAACAATCATGATCTTTCATTTATGCTCTTTTTATTTTGAATGGGTAGCTACAGTGAAGATATGGTTTAGCACCATGAGCTAACACTCAATAGCTGGAACTTGGGAAGGCAACATGAAAATCAAAGGACTAATCACCCTCCAAGATCAACTGGTCTTGGCAAAAATACTACCTCTCCTTGTGGTATTTTGGAGGGTCAGCTTCCAGGACTGCACCTTTTACACAGAGGGGGAGAACTTACAGAAAATTCCTGCATTGAAAGGGCAGTGTTAAAGGGGGTTTAGTAGATAAGGTGAAAATCCCTGCATTTCTTGAAATGCATTTCATGCAGTGTCTTACTGATATGCAGCTAGTCAATCAGAAGCCAAGCTTTTACTCAGTCACATACAGTACACATCTTCAGACAGCCAGAGGCTAAAAAGCCCTGAAGTCAAACGCATTAATTAGCATGCTGGGAGACCACGGGGAATGTTGCGTACGTTCTCCTTCTCAATCAGCGCTCTCCCTCAGACAAGGTTATTTCTGCTCTCCCGCTTCCCGTCATCCTTTCTTTCTTCTCTCCAGATTTCTTTTGCCAATACACCAAACACCAAACTTATCAAATAGTTTCAGCACTTTTACTATTCAAAAAGGACAATTTACAAGCCATAGGAAAATAAACACAAACACACAGTACACAATCATGTATTCAGAGTCCTTTCTTATGAGTTAAAAAGTATAACCAACTAAGTACAAACTAACACAACTGGATATAAAATTAGAAGGGTGTCACCAGAAGGATGTCTGTACTGTATATTTAAACATCTCTTCCAACATTAAATGATACATGGACTACACTTGTATAGCACTTTTCTACCTTAACTGACAAAAGTGCTTTACAATTTTTTTCACACACAGATTGATGGCAGCGAGCTGCAACAGCTCTGCCTCTTTTGTGTTTATTTTCGTGTTTCCATGGGCTTCAGTGTTTGTTTGTTTTTTGCTATGTCTCTTTTCCGTAAACGCTTGTGAAGTTGGGCTACCAGGGATACAACTTTTATTGCGTTTGCATCGTATTTTGTACTTTTTTACGAGTCTGCCTCGGGGGGACCCTTGTGTCGTGGCCCCGACTGTTTGCTCTGCTTGGCAACAGGCCTCGGGGGGACCCTTGTGTCGCGGCCCCGACTGTTTGCTCTGCTTGCCAACAGTCAGTTTCCTTGTTGAGAGTTGCTGGGGATTCCTAAGGGGATGCTATGAGAGGGGCGAGTCTGCAGAACTGGAGCAAAGCACTGGGAGAGGAACTGAAGTGAGGTGCTGGGGGACAAGATGGACAAGCTGGCCGCGCTGGCGGAGCTGCAGCGGGTGTACAGGAGGAGAGGTCCTGTACACGCTTCAGCGGGACTCCAGGATCTGTGGTCCATGGTGACGGTTCTTCGCTGATCCCTGGGCCTGCTGAGTGTAGGCGCATGGTGTCTCAGCGGACACAGCACCCGCAGGCCCTAATCCTCATCTCGGGGACCTCAACCATGCCATGCCTCCCTCCCCCTCTCTGCCACCTACACAAAGAACAATAAAACTCTGGACCATACCATATGCTAATGCTAGGAAGGCATACATTTCTGCCCCTCCCCCTCTGACCACAGACTGCCCTGTTTGTGATTTGAGTGAGAGCAATATCTGTTCCTGACTTTCTCTGAAATGCTTGTACTGTCTTGTTTTTTGGGTATTCTTGATTTGTTTTTTAAGACGCGCTGCACGGAGCGGCAGCGGGTTCCAGTAGCTCTGTAGTCTTTTGTGTTTTTTTCTTTCCATGCTTTCTGAATTTGTCTATCAAGATCGGTGTGTGGTATCTGTTCTTATGGTGTCTTGTTGCTTCCTCTCTGTTGTTTTTGTCCCTTACTGCTGCTGGAACACTGGAATTTCCCCACTGTGGGATCAATAAAGTTCTACCCTACCCTACCCAGCTGCAATGCAAGTCAATGGCCTGGCCCCCGGGAACAACACTGGGCTCAGTGTCTTGCCCAAGGTCATTTCAACACAAGGAGCAGAGGAGCCAGGAATCAAACTGCCAACGCTGCAATTAATGGACAACCATACAACTCTTAATGCTACTTACTGTATATCAGCCAGTTCTAGCTTGGCACAGATACACTGGTATTGGCACATGTTGGCCAACAATAACTGACTGCAGAAAAGCCAAAGACATATTTTGGGTTCATTCAAAAACTGTCTCTCCATTAAATGAAACTGGAGAAATAATAATAAAACTGTGTTAGACGTCAAAACATTTTTCTTGTTTTTCTTTTTCCTCAATTTTTGATAAGTGTACAACAGTTTTATACAAATTCCTTTTTGTAATTTAAATAAGAATGCATAAACCAGAGCTTTGCCTAAAGAAAGATATAATGGGAAACTGACAACTGGAACTGCAAGTAACAATTAACTGAGGAATTTTTATTGTTAATCTGTTGGACTTTTTTATTAATCAAATGACTGTTTAGAAAAATGGCAAAAAAAGAAAAATGCCCTTCACAGTTTCCATGAGCCCGAGGAGCTGTGTTGAAATGTCTGGTTTTGCCCAACCAATAGTTTCCTGTGATACAGAATAGAGAGCAAATTCTCACCACTGACACACTGGAATCAGAGAAAGTTTGCCATTTTGGTATGCTAAATGATTTGAATAATTGAGTATCTGTAACACTGTGGATTGACAAACTGATTAATGGAAAAACCATTTCAGCACACACAAAAAGCTAGAATTTCAATCAGTAAGTATCTAATCAAAGAATTAACAAGACTAAGAACCTGACCAAGCATTTTCCTGTAGCTTTGAGTACTTCTAGTTTTTTTACTACAGTATGAGCTATATATTGCATGACCCTGAAATAACTTCTGCCATCTCTCAACACAGAGCCCCCATTAGATCATTCCAACTGTCATGTTTCACATGCTCTTACAACAACTAGGTGTAGGTGAAGGCCAGCTGGAGCTAATCCTGCAGTGTTCCAGCATTCCCACACCCCTGGGTGCCTGAGGACAACACACCTGACCATACCACCATGCCTGGGAAACAGTAAGGCTGATCACAGATTAGCATGCGAACTTGCAGCGACAGCATTTGAGTGGGTGGTAACATTACAAGCCTAACATTCGGGGATGATCACCGCCTTCCATACAAGACATAAGATTCTCATCTGCAATGAAAAAACATATTTTCTTTAAGAAGAACACCAGAGAGGGTTTTGTTTTCTTTTCGTATGCTTCTGCTTCTCACAGTGCTCTTCTATTATGACAGGGTTGGTTTCACATCTGTTCATTGTTCATTCTAACAACACCTCCTCTCAATACTCTGCATGCAGCCAGAGTGCTAATAACCAGCCAATTTTTTATTTATATTCCCTTTTCATTTACATTGCCAATGAAGTGACACAGAGCCTAAGCTATAATTGACCTGTTTTGATATAGAAGAAGCCCCGGCCCTCTGTCCTCTACACAAGAGTGATGACTTTGCCAGTCTTTCCCAGTTTGGACAGCTCCTTTTGGTGTCATTTTCTTTTAACCAAATCCTAGGTCCTATTTGGAGAGGCAAGAAGTAAAAGTTGCAAGATGGAATCATTTATGCCTTTATTTTTATCAAATATTGGTGAATAATAATAACAGCTTTAAGGCATGTTAAGAGACTACAGTATACTTTGTACAGTTAAACATAATTTAAATTAAGAGATTACACTGTATAATGTGGAGACAAGAAAAATGGACGAGATCCTGTCAGGGTATGTACATTTAAACTGTACAAACCTGTTTCACAAACACGCTAACTAATTCCACTTCAGCATTAGGAGACACCTTTAGCAATTTATATTTTAATTCTTTACCCGGAAATGTAGCTTTCCTGTAGAGCTTCACATGATTTATTACACTTTAAGATCGAATTCTAGTAAATCCATAAACACCTGAACCAGCTAGGACCACGTATTTAATCTCAGTGACTGACACAATCCCTCCCTTCCTTCTTTCCTTCCTTCCCTCCGGGGTGAAGGACTGGGGAAGTTTACACATTATTCAGTGTGTTACTTGGTGTCACTGGGACCAGATGCTGCAGAATGACTTTAAAGGAGCTAGGAAATGCTACGCCTATGTGGACTTCGGTTTGCCCCCGAACCAGAAGGGCCATGAAGTCAGCAGTGGAGGGTTTTAACGACTTTGCGGTTTCGCTCTGTCCGTGAAAGCGGAACGTTAACAGCATAACAAGGCAACAAATCTACACCCTTCATACATGTAAGAATCAACAGGCGAGCAGCACAGAAATACACATACAGCCTAAGTGACGCTGTCTGTCCGCCTTTATTTTATGACAAGAAGCATTTGTCTAAAACGTCCCGATATGAAGGGCAATGCTGCAGGGCAACGATATGCAAAATAACCTTTTGTATGGGAAGAAAGCAAAGGGTCCGCGAAACGAATGTAGCCATAACGGGAACAAAGCCTCCACACCAAAGCACCATAAATAACAGTACATATAACTACAACAACAACAGGGCGTTGTGACATCTGGCCACGCTGGTTCGAAACCGGTGAAGAATACCCTCCTTGTGAGCGGCCGTTCAGTGGGGGAAGGGGATGTATGCTGGGGCCAGGCTTCAGCGGCCTGTCGGTGTTTTGCCACAGCCCGCGACTAAACAACACCTAGTTTGGTTTTTCCATTCTAGACAGCACCGGTAAACATCCCTTTCCGTGTACACAGACAGCCTAGTACCGACTTACCAGACGGGTTAACCGCGGCGGGAGTTGCCATGCTTCCTCAGCAGAGAAAAACAACAAAACAGCAGCGATGGAGATGACGCACAATAGGACTACAGAGCTCCCGTGAGAGGCTGTCCAAGCTCCGCGGGACTGGCGCTGGGTCTCGGTCCAACCGCCTCACATCCGTTAACACGAAGGAAAATGATCGGGATTTTTAAAAATCAGCAAAAGTCCGTTTCTTTATAGAACATATATATATATAGTGTATGTTAACGAAAAAAATCTCTTTGAACATACTTAATAAAAATGCAAGCTGTCTGAATGGTAGCACCGCGAGATTTTAGGGTTGCTTGAATAAATTAAGACGCTGTCCATATCTCATAAGATGTCACCCTAAAACTGATAAGTCTACCTGTAGATAAAAATCTGGTACAATATGCGTTAACAAATGTGTAAATCATTTACTGCCACTTTCTATACGCTAGTCACAGTTTATAAGTTGTGATGTATTCATTTCAGATGAAAGGCATTTCTATATAAATTAAGTAAAGTGTTAGTAGTATTATATTCAGCTTTAACAATACTCCAATAAGTAATGAATTTAGGTAATTTGGGAGAGCATAACAGCACAGCATTGTACTTCTGCCTTGAAAAGTGTTAAGGCAAAATTTTTGGTGCTGAGACCTCCAAGCACATGACCAAAGTCACATAACATTATTCCTGTGAGATCACATGGATGGGTGTGGTCAGCATCAAAAAGGAAGTTGACTCCAAAAAGCAAGAGGTATGAGAAATGACTTCAGTTTGTATGCTTCAGTTTGATTTTAATGTAAGGGTGTAAAATTTTACTAAAAGGGGACATCCCTGAAAAAATCAGCGTGAAGTGTTGGATGAGTCCAGAGATAATTATCTATTTGTCATTTACATGCATAAAGTAAAAAAAAACTAAGATGATACTTTTTTTATGATTTTAAATGTTTGAGTGTATATTTACAAAATGAAAGATATAACTTGTAATCTAGTAGACCCATTTGTTCGTTAACCCTCCTGTTATGTTGCGGGTCAAATTGACCCACGAACATAACTGCTTTAAATGAGACAAATATTTGATATGAAGAAATGAACATAACAGGAGGGAACCCTCCTGTTATGTTCATTTCTCAGGTGATGCCTGCTCAGCAGTTATGTTCATGGGTCAATTTAACCTGCAACATAACAGGAGGGTTAAATATCCATGCTGAGCATACCTGCAATTCATGGTTGTATTTTGTGATAGTAAGAGTATCTTCAGTCTGAGTACATTCTTATTCATAAAGTTTTCATGAATTTGAAAGTGGGTGTCACTGAGTGTTAAAGTTTTCTTAGAATGTCTAAAACCCTTTCACAACATTCAGAGGAGTAAAACCAGAGAAAATGTCACTCTGTATTGTAACATTTCCCTTAAATGTCAAATGCCCAGTAAGCCCTGCAACCTACTATTGTCACTCTGTGCTGTTTGCAGTTGGACCTGCTACACCTCTACCTGACAGACTCTTACCTCCTGCTCGCTTTTTGGTGTCTCAACTCTTGTCATTCTGCTCAGTGCTAGTTGCCTCCAGCCCCAGCGACAGCTCAGCTACCCGTTACTTCCACATCACAACCTGAATTGTCTCCAAACCGGTGACAGCTCAGCTAACCCGTTTGTTCCTTGTCGCTGCCTGGGTTGCCCCTGACCTGTGACTGCCCAGCTTACCTGCTTTTCTCTTGAAACTGAGTGAGTCTCCTCTAGCCCTGTGTCAGATATTCACCTGTTGGTTCCGCGTGTGTGGTCTCCAGCCCGGTGTCAGCTCTACTCACCTGTTGGTTCCTCATCTCTGCGTGTGTGGTCTCCAGCCTGGTGTCAGCTCAACTCTCCTGTTGGTTCCTCGTTGCTGACTGTGGGGTCTCCAGTCCAGCATCAGCACTTTTCACCTGCTGGTTCCACGTCACTGTACGAGCTGTTCCCAAACCAGTGTCACCTCAGCTCCCTGCCTAAGCCTCATTGGACCAAAATATACGCCTGCTGGCATATACTCAGTTCGCTGGTCTCTTTCTACATCACTCCTGAGTTCCTGCCTGCCTGGCCACAACCTCAGCACTGCCAGGCGTCCTCCTACTTCACCTTCCTGCTATTAGCCTACTCAGTGTGGTCCAGCTCAATCTTCATGTTCCAGCTCGTTCTGTGACTGTCCTTGACTAGAACCCTGCAACCCATATCCTGTTCCAGGCTGTTCCCTCCTACTGTCTACCTTTGAGCCCTGAAGTGAGACCTTCTGGTCCTCTGAGCTCAATCCCCACATCTCTTCTCCACCCAGAAATCTACTGCTACCCACCTTTGTTCACCATTGCTTTACAGAGAACCAGTTACCCGTCGGACCTAGTGTCCACGCTCAGACTCCATATTGCCCAAACACTGTTCTGCCTCCGCTCCAATCCAGCAGTGGCCATTGGTCCACCAAGTATTCATCCTGTCTCAGCCTAGATGTAGGAACATTATTTCAGGAGATGCTCCTAGGGGATGTACAAGGTTGGAGCACTTGTTGTTCATTACAGTACAAAGTTAGTGATCTCATGAGTGGCAGCAGAATGGTGCATGTGCTAACTTTTCAGAATCAGAATCAGCTTTATTGGCCAGGTGTGTTGGACACACAAGGAATTTGACTCTAGTACAGCGGCTCTCAATGTGTATGTACATGTGTTATGTTCGCTCGCACACGGAGTGAGTGAGGAAAAAGATGGACCCAGGTAGCTGACTTCAGTGCAAGCAGTGAGTAATTTATTTACAGTGTCGGTAATGATGAACAAACAAGTTAGTGAGGGTATAATATGAAACCGAGTGTCGATCAGCAACAATACAGGAAGTGGGATGAGATGGATGGAGTGGGCCAAGCTGCGTAGCAGGGTCACTCCTAAGCTGGCCGGTGGGCAATGGAGGTTACTGTGGGGATAAAAGGAGAAGAGTTTGTACATACAGTTACTGGTGACTGTGCATCGACCTGACTGGTGGAGGCTGGAAGGGTTGAGTGGAGCCAAGGTCCGGAGGTAGTAGTCCATGGAGGGAAACGAGGAGAATTCTGGTTGTGGAGAGGCAAGGCAGAGTACTGGGTGAAACTCAGCGGGAGCTCGAACAAACATATAGAGAAATCAAACATGGGAGGCGACTGGTAGAACAACATGTGGGCCTGAAAACGAAAATGAACCGGCAAGGGACAGACAGGAGAGCAGGGTATAAATAGGGCAGGACTAAACAGGTGCAGCTGGTGACAATCAAGAGGTGTGGAGCAGGTGTGGTAATCAGGGGTCGAGGATGTGAAACAAAAGTGAGGGAGGTTAGAGCGGTAAGTACAGCCGGGCAAACCTGACAGGACCCCCCCCAAGGATGGATCCACCGGTGGTGGATGAGATCCGCCCTGAGTACCTTAAGTATCTGGATGTTGTTGGGCTGTCTTGGTTGACACGCCTCTGCAATGTCGCATGGCGTTCGGGGACAGTGCCTCTGGACTGGCAGACCGGGGTGGTGGTCCCTCTTTATAAGAAGGGGGACCGGAGGGTGTGTTCCAACTATAGGGGGATCACACTCCTCAGCCTCCTCGGGAAAGTCTAACCCAGGGTACTGGAGAGGAGAATTCAACCGATAGTCGAACCTCAGATTCAGGAAGAACAATGCGGTTTTCGTCCTGGCCACAGAACACTGGACCAGGTCTATACCCTCTTCAGGGTGGTGGAGGGTTCATGGGAGTTTGCCCAACCAGTCCACATGTGTTT